GTACGTAATTTGTCCATACCGGCCACGGTAAAGGTGGCCGTAAGTAGAGCTGTCAACTTACGAGTGTCCGTTAATATTTATTCAGCAAGGCGACATTTCGAACTTTCTTTTAGCAGTTGAACACTAACATAGCGCTAACTCGCCGAAAACGCTTCAAAATGGCCTGAGACGCAAGGAATCAACAAAGAAAACAACAAGGCAATAAGGTAAGTCCATTTTATTTCAAAACAAGACATTTTTTTGTCTCTTTTAAGGCAAACCGATAACATCCCATACAAACCTTTATAAATATAAAACGTTGCGCAACACGGCAAGAGTCACGTCCGCTTTTCTAGTAGTGAGCTTGGGCTGCATGTGATTGAATCAAAGTGAATCTACACTCGTGGATTGATTGTGTGACATAATAAAAAAAAATACGTGACATGTTAAGAATAGGATCACGAGTCGAGTTTATCTCTTTGGTAATTAAAATTAAAATAAATTTCGAGGGGTCTGAGTTTTCGGGGTCTGAGGTCTGAGGTCTGAGTTTTCGGGGTCTGAGTTTTCGTGACACCCATCGTTGGATCGTAGTGTGTAGTGTTTAGTTGTGAAGGTCAAACCACGACTCGATCGACTGGTCGGGGAACTGACCAGGCATATGGCGCTCGAAGTAATCTTCGCTGACGTCGATTTCTCGCTCTCATCATAGCGGCAGTCAAAACAGTTTAACAGGCGTTAACCCATCTTTCATTACGGGACGCATATTTTTAACGTTTGTTTTCCTTTTTCAGCTCACTGCTCTCTCCCCATAACATGTGGATAAACTTGTGTCTGGTTTATCAAAGTGTCATCACTGAGATATTTTATCACCTAGTGCGACCCTTATAGTTGAAACCAAAAGTTTGCTTTCCGGTTTCAGTTTCAAATTTTCTGTGTTTTTTTTGCCGGCAAAGTTGAAAACTTTGCCCAAGTGCGACCCATACCTAACATCAATTTCGGTATTCTCGTGGTCGTGAAGTAAGCAGGATTGGTTATATACCACATTACTTTGCCATGCATTACTGGAATCTAGATTCCATCGCGCAGAAAAAGTAGACAATTGTTTAGATAAAAGAAAAAATTTTAGGGCCTAGTTTTTCAAGTTATCAGAAGACAAGAAGCCGCACTATACCTTAAAACATGAGCTGTATTCTTTTATAGAATGCGATCTTTTGAATCGACTACAAATACTTCAATTACCTGGAAATTTTCTACCCTTCTAGTTCTTGGTTGTCGTGGTTCTTCCTTGTCTGTTTTCTTTGTTTTTCCAATGCGTGCGTGAGGCAAGGAATATTTTCATTATTCAATTGGTTAAATTAACCGATTTTGATCTTGGAGAAATTTTTCCATCAGACTTTTAACTTACAATTTTTTAGCCTTCTGCGATATTTCCTTCGTTCCCAACTTTGTTCTGCAGCCTCCGGTGGGATGAGAGGAGAGTCTGGTCACCAAATTTCACGCTTGAATGACAGCAAAGATGGAACTATTTCGAAATCATCTGACAGTCACGGTTACGGTATGTGATTACGTAACAATTGGTACTTTTATCAGCAATATTACCTAAATATGTCTTCACATCTAACTTACGACGTTTGTGTCATCGGTGCTGGTGTGGTGGGGAGTTCCACGGCCCGTTACCTTGCTTCCCGCGGACAAAGAACACTCTTACTGGAGCAGGTACGATTAAGGGCTAAATTATGCGAGGATCTTTCAACATAAATGTCTTTCTATGATTAGCTGCTGTTATTTTGCTATTGTGGTCAGACCTCTATGAGATGTGGCAGCCTTTAGGCAATGGTTGAGTGACCGCCTGCTGTAGATTCCACTGAATGAGGGTTTAAAGTCCCGGCCAAACGAGAAATGTTGCGCCACGCAACAAGACGCAACATTGTTGGGTCGCCCAACATGTTATCATGGAAGAGGGTGGCCAAACGATATCAGACAATTCGTGTCCACAAACCGCATTGTGGACACGAATTTTGAGTGTGTGATACGCATGCGTTAGCGCAACATGTTGCGTTGACCTGGCTAAACGAGAAAATTTCACGCATTGTGGACACGAACAAAGGAAATGTTAGCTTTAAAGCGGGATCAGGGTCAAAATCCAGTTCCAAATAGGAACAGGTACAACAAAAAGTCAGCCATAAAAAAATCTCTTCAGAAAATCTCTTCAGCTTGATTAACAAATGTCACTAGGATATTGTAAAGAAGTGATGACATGTTGAGGATATTGATAGCCCTTCACATTTATAATAATAATTTATAATTTAATGTTTATATTGCGCAAATTAACATGTGGATATGATCAAATGCGCATCACATCACTTTTTGGGGGACTTTGGCCGGACTGCATCAGCAGTTTACAAACAATTGAAGGAAACTTATTTGAAGATGCCCTCTACCCCCCAATTCCCAGTAAACAGGCCAGACCACAT